AACCAATTTTTAACGGCCTTTCGGGGAGCATATTACGTAACATGGGCCCATCTAAATTACTATTAATTTTTCTCATTTAAAAACAAAAATAATATTTTGACCAGTGTGATCAAGGGATTGAAAAAGTCAACACAACTGCACATTATTGATCTTATTATTTTTTTCTATTTCATTTAGGTCTTTGATAGGATTTACTTTCAAAATTATTTTCTTTAGGTAATTTTAAAATTGATTTTTTATTGTCTTCTCAATTTTAAGACTTTGTCTTGATTAACTTAAATTAAATCAAGTCACAAACCTGATTTTAGTGGATGACCCTCCCAATACGAATTTTTACATAAATGATACTTAAAACTTAAAACCTACTTAAATGGTATCAAACTCTTTCCTACTTGAACAAACCCGTCAATATACTTTCAAAATTGTTGATAATTGTACAACAACAACAACAACAAAACCCTATTTCTATATGCAATACGATAAGGGGGATGTGGGGTAATAGGATGTCCCCAACGTCAAATTGAGAGCAGCTTCCGTGGAAGACCTCCGACAGTAAGATAACTAAAAATAAAGATAAAATACAATGCATGCATAAATAAATCAATAAATATACAGTTATTATCCAAAATAATATACTTTTAAAATAATTATCGTTGATCACTTTTTCTGTTTTATTTTTATTTTTCTTATTTTAATAAAAGAATCTATTTTGTTCATATCTATCTTTATATGAGATCAACTTTAAAATTGACAATTGCGAACTCAAAGCCAACAGAATATAAGCATGGCAACTCAACCAATTGGCTGGTGGTTTGTACAACGTCAACGTCTGCCCTGTCCATTCTCATTTCTCAGTTCTTGATTCCATTTTCGTTCTTTTAGGTTTAAAAATTAACTCTTTTCCATAATACGCTTCAGTAAGACATAATTCAAATTAATTCATATATATATATATATATAATGAATTATTTTTAAAGCAAAAATGTTTTCAAATCCTTACACATAGTATTAAACAAAAGTATGATGGTTCCATGCTCAACGAGCACCTTTAATGATCACAATTAAATTAATTTATAAAACATTAAATTATAAAGTACGAAACATATAATTATAAATTAGTTAAAAATCTAAAGGTAGTTTAATTAAAATATAATATTTATAAAATATTAGTTTTTTTGGGTAAACTATATAATTGACTACCTAACTAATTATCCTTTTTACTTTAACCACCAATTTTTTAATTTTCTCAATCGGGTCATCTAATTATTTAAATCTTGTCAATCAAGCAACATGTCGCTAAATATTAACGGCGGAGATGATGTGGCAATTAATAAAATTTGTATAATTACACATTTAGTCCTCATTACTTATGCATTATATTAATTTGGTCATAACTTTTATTTAATTCAATAAATTTAATCCTCAATCCAATGGTAACATGTGTCACTGTGTGATTGGATTTTTTTAATAAATCTTCCATCCAATCTAATGATGTCACGTGTCACCAATTGAATAAATGAAAAATAAATTAAATCAATAGCCACTGCTGGTGGGCTTTGAACCTGGGACGCAAGCTAAAAAATTGAGCACCCTAATCACTAAAATGGACCACTGAATTTGTCTAATATACATAACATAATCTATATAATTTATAATATAGTTAAAGGCAATGAATGATCTTATAAGGACTCAAACATGAAATAATTGAAAAGTATGAAAATATAAAAAAATATATAAACAATTATTATAATTGATTAATAAATGAATATATTTTATTTATATTTTAAATCATATTTAATGAAAAAATTAAAATAAAAGTGAATTTAATATGTTATAATTGAAATGTATCATTTTAAATATTTTAAATTAATAAATCGTCTTCATTATTCTAATTTTATTGAACATAAATGTATCATATCTTATACTTTAAAATATTATAACGTCGATCAAATTCTCATATTATTTAGTAACTCTACATTAAAATAGACTAATTCAATAAAATCAAGTTTCCCCTAAAATTTTCTTCAAATATATAATGAATAAAGAATAATATATAAAATTTTTACTCTAACCGGTATATAAATAAGTCAATGCATAAGTTAAAATGCTTACCACAATAAGCCCTTAACTGTCAGGAAAATTCTAAGTCAACGAAGCTCTCTGTTAGATTTCAATTATAATATATTAAAATTATTTTTATTTTTATTTTCTATGAAAATTATTTAAAATATAAATAAAATACATTCACATGTTAATCAATTATAATATTTGTGTATATATCATATTATCATAGTATTCAATTATTCCATGTTAAAGTTCTTATCATGTCATTTCCTTTTTTTATTGTTATTAACTATATATATTATGTCATGATAGGTTTTAGTTTGAATGCTACATTGCTTCCTCTTCTCACGTCTTGGATTTAAACCCCACTAGCAGCGATTATTGATTCAATTAATTTTCTATTCATTCAATTGGTGACACATGGCACCATTTGATTGGATGAAAAATTTATTAAATTAAATAAAAATTTAAGAAAAAACATCCATTCACATAGCGACACATGTCACCAGATTGAGGATTAAATTTATTGAATTGACTAAATGTGTAATTATACAAAATTTATTAACTACCACATCATCTCTTCCATTAATATTTAACGGCAAGTGGCTTGATTGATAAGATTTAAATAGTTAGGTGACCCAATTGAACAAATTGAAAAATCGATGATTAATGTAAAAGGAGTAAATAATTAGATGGTCAATGCTATAATTTACTCTAAAAACTAAATTTTTATTAATATTGCATTTTAATTAAATTACATTTAGATTTTTAACTAATTAATAATTATACATTTAGTACATTATAATTTAATATTTTATAAATTAATTTAATGATGTTCATCATTAATGGTACTCATCTACGCTCGATTGTAGGATTTTTGTTTTAATATCATATTCCTATAGTATAATACAATATATGTATCATAGTATATATCATTCTTTTTTCTCTCTCTCCCTCTCGGAGCTATACTACTAGTCACCATGCTATTTTATTTCCTCTATTTTGATTTTCATATTATATAAACGCATAATTAGTAACTAACATCACATTTTTCTATCTTAGTCAACCGTCTTTAAATATTCAATAAAAAATGATATATCTGATATAATAATAATTTTAATTTTTAAAATTTATACATTATATCAATTAAGTACTAATAAAAGATCAATTTAATAATATTTTAATATTTTAAAATTCCAATAATTTAGCTCGCATTTTAATTTTAAATAATTTAATAAATTTAATTTATTTAGAAGATAAAAACACGTGTAACTATTTTTATTATTGAAAAATAAGGGAAAATAATTAGGTTTAAAGGCCTTTAAATAAACAATGACCTGAGAAAGGTCCAGTTCTTAACTGTAGAGTCAAACCATCAAATTATTACATTGCGAATAACATTTCCCAACTATTTATTAAGAAAAATGGTTAATTATATTTATACGTGTATTTGTAATATCTGATAATGTAAAAATAAATCAAATAATCTCACTTTTATGTTCTAATCATAAAATAATAAAATTTCTTATTTAATTGTTTGTTGCAATGATTATATATAAATATTTTTTACACATATTAGAAGCAAAAATCATGTAGATGTCAACTTTTCATATGATTATTAATTACATATAATATTTGACCACATGCAAAACGAGATAGAGTAAATCAAATTAAAAAAAAAGAGGATAATTATTAATTATAAAGAACGAGTGGCACGTCAGAAAGAGGGAATCGTGAGTCCATCAAGCTCACCGAGTTTTATTATTATTTTTAAATTTTTTGTATTAATGTTTAATCCACTTAGTCCCCTTATTATTTTATTATTTATAAATTTTAATCAATATTTTATTACTCTTTGCGTCCATATATGTATATATATATATAATGCAGAGCCGAATTGATTCCTGGAAAGAAGTTATTGTTTCTCTCTTGGTTTCATTACCTAAAAGCCTTTAAAATCTCTTATTCCTTGTCAACTCGACTATTCAACCTCTCTTTGCTCTTTGTTTTTTTTTTTTTTTTGTATATCATCTGGTTTTGGGTTTCTTTGAAAGAGGAGTTTACCGGATTCTCCATTCAGAAAAGAAAAAGAAAGCTCCGTGTTGATCAAATTGCACGTAAAAGAGACTTGCCAACTAGCTGGTACGTTTTTATTCTCTGGGCTTGATTTTGTTTTCAAGTATGGATTCTGGGATTTATGCAGTGCCTCGTTATTTCCAACTTTCTGATTCTTTCGCCCTTCATTTTGTGGGTTCTTTCTCTCCTTTGTTATGAGATTTTCTAGTGTTTTCAATTTTCAAAACTGTTCCTTGTTTAGCTTCTCTCTTCTTATAGAATTTGGAACTTTCAACTTGTTTTTTTTTTGGGCTGAACTTGGAGTGTTGGAGCTTTGAAAACTGAGCGTTTCTGTATTTAAGTTTCTTTGAAATCCTCACCCGGTTCAGAAAGTAGCTAAAAAAAAGCTGGGTTTGGGTGTTTATCTTTTTCTCTCATATTGGGACCATGTAAAGCCTTGTCTTTAACAATCTAGCATCAGTTCAAAATTATTCATTTTAGGCAACCAAATAAAGAAATTTAAAAACCCAGATTTAATCTGATTTGCTGATAATATTAAAAGATTTAACATGTTTTCTGCATTTGAAAAATGCATTTTGGGCTATCAAATTGATATGACGTTTTAGGTTTGGTGCCCCACCCGTAGGAAAAGTATTTTCATGTAGGTTTAAAGGGGTTGTTGAGCAAATAAAGATTTGTTTACCACATGTGGAATTGGATGGAAAGGGTGCCTTCATGCATAATCTTATGCTATAGTATTTTGCTTGAGGAAGAAGCATGGAACTTGTAATAATTATCCATCAAACTTGGGTAGCTGAGATGGGTGCTTTGATTACACTGATTTTTAGAAATATACTATTTTGGTGTTTCAATTAAGGTTCTCGTGATTCTAATATGGTATTTCTTGTACGGATTTTGGCAGCACATGGCCATTGAACACTACTTTGAAGATGCTAATGACCCTTTAAGTGGAGAGGGTAAGAAGTGGGAGAATTCACCGAGTTCATTCATGGGTTCCGATGACGATCCCTCTGCCGGTTTCGACTGCAACATCTGCCTCGACTCGGTACAAGATCCGGTGGTTACTCTATGCGGTCACCTGTATTGTTGGCCTTGCATTTACAAATGGCTTCGTTTTCAGACCATCTCCACTGAAAACCTGGACCAGAAACATCAGGAGTGTCCGGTTTGCAAAGCTGAAGTTTCACATGCCACGCTGATTCCGCTTTACGGAAGAGGCCTAACGACTAAGGCGTCAACCGACAATATTCCGAACAGACCTCTCGGTCCTATTGGTGTCCTTGACAGGATAAGTTCACTTAATTCCACCGATGGTCTACAATTCCGGCAGCCATTCAATCACCATGGTTATTCATATCAACCACAAATCTACTATACTCAACAAGGAGGCTATCCCGGTTCATCGATGCTTAGTCCCGGTGGCATGGAGATAAGCGTACCAGATCCAGTGACCCGAATGCTCGGTGAGACGGTATACAGAAGAGTACACGGGAACTCGGTGACGGATTTATATACATATCCGAATTCATACAATCTCGGAGGGAGCACTAGTCGTAGGATCAGAAGGCAATTAATGAAGGCCGATAAGTCGCTGAGCAGAATAAGTTTTTTCCTCTTCTGCTGCGTATTGTTCTGTCTTCTTTTGTTCTGATTTTTAGTTCTCTGCTTTTCGTCGGAAGAATTATACCTGTACAGGAGAACTAAAGCATACAAAGTTCAGCCGGACGTAGTAATAATACAGCATGAGATGTTGTCATCTCCTGTGCTGCTTATAGCATTTATATGTAATTGCAAGTTATGTTTCAAGCTTAAAAATCAATCATGCACGAACCAAGTGGCCTCCGTAATAAATGAATTGTTGTTATTCATTGAGGACCCGGATTCGAGCAACGTAGATACTTAAGGGTGTGAACGTTCAATATCAAAAGATTGAAAATTATATTTGAACGTGATACTACCATGTAATGAATAAGAACAGCGTTTTTCATTCATGGGTTCAGTCGGAGCCAGGATTAATATCATGGTTTGGCATTGTAAATATTGGTGACATTATTTGATATTTTAAGTATTTTAACGAATAGGTTAAAAGCTGTTACATATCACATATATTTAGTTTTTATTTTTTAAAATTTCAGTTAAAAATATATAAATAATAATTCTATTTATAGAATTAGAAGTCTACATTATTAGTGTATTAAATGATTATCAATTATTAAAATAATTAATTATGTACGGTTAGGGTAGCATGTTATTGTGGCAGGATAACATGATTGTTGTCTTATTCTTGTGTTTCAATTTAAGAAAATCTCATTAACATTTTATTTCGTCAAGTATTATAAGATCATATTACACATATATCATATATATGATACTAACACGTACATGTCCCACGAAGTAAACGGGCGGGACGAGTGTGGATATCATTTTCCCATCCTCATATTCACCTAATATTTTTATATTTGTCATTTACCCACCATTCATGACGGATAATTTTTTTAAATCTATACATGCTCACATAGTACATTTTCAAATCTACACTCACTATTCAAATTGATACTCACCAACCATCCTGTACCCGTTTATACATGTCCATACCCATCTGACATCAACCTTACAGATTACAAAATGTTTATACTCTAACATTTGGTTAAATTACAAGTCATGTTCTATAAATCTTAAAATTTACAAAATAGTCTTTGAAATTATAACTAAACTCATAATGGTTCAAAATTTACATAGTGGATAGTTAGTTAGTTAGTGAGTGAGTGAACGGATGTGAAGCGAGTAGATACGAAATTGACGAATGTGGGGCGGGTAATGTTCTAAACCCATCACCTACTCACTACCTACGACGAATATGATATTTTACATCAACACCCACCTACTATTCACAAAACTTATATCCATTCTCACCCTAATTGAAATGAGTGCAGTACGAATCCACGAAATTATTTGGTGTGTTATCCTTATTATCAACGGGACTGCTGGCTATATTCAACCCTTTCTTCCTGGCTTGGTGGATTTGCTCATACTCAACGTAGAAGACACGAGGATAGTGTTTAAAAAATATTTTTATTGTTTAATTAAATAGTTATTTTAGATTTTAGTTTTTTTGAATATTTGAATATTAATTTGTATTTTAAGATAAAAAGGTTCTTAATTAACATTTGGTTAAATAATTACTTTAATCATTTTTTAAGTATTTTATCCTTCAATGTTTTATTTTAAGTTACAAAGTCCCTATTTTAAAGGTTTAATATTTTCTGAACAATGGTTTTCATATATAAAAGAGACTTTTTAATCCAAAATGAAACATTAAAAGTTAAATCGTATCAAAAACAAAATAGAAATCAAAGTAACCATTTAATCAAATATTAAAAGTATTTTTTTTCATCATTGGATAAGAACACAACTAGTACAATATTAAAATTTAAAAATTTAACTTATAATAAGATTTTAAAAATGATGTTAATATTATATAGATTCAGAATTTAAAATCATATAAAAATTAACATATAAATAATTTGAAAAATCTAATAAACTCGATCCAACCTCTCTAATAGTAACAACGGCCATTCTCTGTTGTCTATACCCTTGCAGAAGCTTAAAAGCCCTAGGCAGGTCCTCCAAATCTAGGAGCTTGAAAGTCCTAGGCTTGGCCTATAATCCAGGCCTAAGCTTGTCATCACTCATCAATATGAACCGGTCCAAACCCACCTTCCCCCATAAAAAGCCCTCTGTTATCACCCTCAACTGGATCCGCCCTTAATTCACGATAAACACGTATCCATTATAAAATTTAAATAGAAAATTAAAAACCCATTAGATCATATCATATAGTAAACGGATGCAGTAAAATAAAGCCGAACAGAAAAAATAACTAAGACATCAAATTCCAAAATAATAAGACGTTCAAACAACATTGAAGATTAACTCAAAATTTCTCAAAAAGAAAGCCCACAAAAGGAAGAGAAAACAGTATTGAATCCATCAAAACCCCCCAAAATTAAGAAGAGCGACGGAGATCTCTACACGGTGAAGGAAAAAATAAGCTACGATAAGGAAGACGGGATAAAAGAAATCATCATCAGCCCCTGATGTGTTTGACTTTATTCCAGCCTTTCTTGCACGACTCTCCCACGATCTTCACGCTCTTCTTGAAGAAAACCTTGAGTTCCTTGGCTCTCTCTTTTACTTGCTGCTCGAACCCGGCCATCGGACCAGAGCTTCAAAAGAAGAAAAATATTAAAAAATACTGAGTTTCGCTTGCTGCGTTTGTGTAGAAGATTGCTGTAACCCAGAAGAAACTCCCAGGGTTGCTTTTAAGCAGGGAATGTGAGCTTAGGCCTCGTTGGATCCAACGCATCAAGAGACACGTGGCGGAGATCTGATGGGTGATGAAGACGTTGATTGCGGGCTAAGCATGGAATGAAAAAGATACGTGGGATGTTGGAGTGGTTTTCCCGTTTTTCATGGTCCCATTTACTCTCCTACTTTAAAATTTTAAAAATCATAAATTTTAGACTGAATTATACTGGGGAACTCTAAACATTCAAAAAGTTTCGATTTAGATTACTTAACTTTTATAATTTGTATTTAAGTCACTTATCATTTAAATAACTAAGGAACTTTAGTGGGTATTGATAAGGGTGTGAATGAACAAACTATTTGTAGAACTGTTCATGAATCATTCACATAAATATTGTTTATGTTCGTTAATTAAGCTAAATAAATAAGTATGAATAATTTTTTATGTTTATTTAATAAATGAACAAACACGAACAAATATGTCTCAAATCATTTATGTTCATGAACAAGATCATTTATTGGCATGTTATAAGCTTGTTTATCTATTTGTTTATAAGCTCATTACTTGGTTCTTCTTTTTCTACATTTTAAATATCGATGAAGATGAAGACTAAATTGAATACAAGATGAATTTTGAAGTTTAAATTGTAAAGGTTAAAAAAATTAAGACTAGTGGTGTAATTTTACCATTTTTTGACTTTGCAAATAAAAAGATGATAAAGAGAGTGTTGTTTGTTGAGCGGAGTCGAACCATATAAACATATATATTTATGTACAGTAAATGAATATATTGACCAACATATAAATGAACATAATAATATATTTATATATATTTTTTGGGATATGTATATATATATTAATGACATCAAATTTTTGTATTGGACAACACAAATATATTAACAACACAAAATCTCTTTGAGAATAATCAATAAATTGGATAGTTATGAGACGACGATAATAACAACAACAACAAAACCCTATTCTTATATGTAATAGAGTAAGGGGGAGGTAGGGTAGTAGGTTGCCTCTAACGTCGAGTTGAGAGCAGCTTCCGTGGAAGACCTCCGAAAGTCAAAAAATTAAAAATAAAGATAAAATACAATGCATGTATAAATAAATAAATACATAGTTAAAATTGTGTTCATATGTGCGTCTTGGATAGTTATGAGAAAAAAATCGAATTTTAGATTGAACACTTGTCCATCCTGATATAAATGTAGATCCTCCAATAAAAAAATGTATTTACAAATACTAAATAAATCGAATACAAATACCTTTAAATATAAATATAACATTAAAAATTTAAATAAACACGAACCATACATCAACATTTCAAAAATTACCAAACAAATACAAATTTAACTATATTCATTCAAGTCCGATTCTTTTACGTATATAGGCATTGAAAACTAAAGGGTCCCATCCCCATTGAAATAATTGGTTGGCTAACTGGCTGGCCTTTATTGAGCACAGCACAACACTATTTTTTTTTATTAGTGCACAAATAAAAGGCGCCTTTAAAATTTGCTTACTAAAAGTGAGAGATTAATAATCATTGATCAAATAAACCGTTGGCACAACAGCTCATTTGCATATTAAACCAGCTGGACTTAGCTAAGACCTCAAAATCTTCATTATATTATATGTGATTCCGTTCACAAATGTTCTTTTAATAGTTAAAAATGATATCTTTATTTCTCGTAATTATTTAGGTTATGGGTTTTAGGAGCATTCCTCTTATTTCACTTAGAGTGCTCTTCCCCTCTCCTCTAGCTAAAATAAAATTAAGATTTTATTTAGAATTTGTCAAAAAAAAGTTTAAGATGATTATAAGATATTATTTTATTAGAATTTTTCTTAGTTATTAACAATATATACAAAGCCGGTAGGCGTAGCTGTTTGAATATGAAACCTCTAGAAATAACAATATTCCCTTCTATTACTGAGATCGCTTAATGAGATAATTTTTAAGTATGATAGGTAGGCAGCTGAAATGTGGGATTAATTGTATAGTTGGTAGGGTTGATTAATAGAGATCTCAAGAATGGGAACCACAGTCACATTTGGAATATTCAATAGGTGGGACCTTCAACAATGGAGACAAGTGAAGGGGACAAAAGCAAGAGAAAGGGAAATTACAATGGAAAACCCTTAAAATAAGCAAAGCCCTTCACCCTTCATGTGGAAGCTAAATTGGTGCCACCTTTTTCTAGTCGTGGGTATTGGCCAATTGGGAACCTATGATGCATGTGGCCGAGACTCAGATCGAGGTAGGGAAGAGAGAGAGTGTACTGATGTTAAGCTTGTGCTGGCCAATGCTGAAAAACCGGAAATTATTCAAGATTTGAAAATGAATACAAATTATACGAGTATTTAAAATTTTAGACACGGTTATTCCCACCGGCTCTCTTAATCTGCCCCCAACATATAATTACTGAGCACGTTTATACAAAGAAAACATGGTGGATAATACACTCTTGGCACATGAGCTAATTAAGGGATATGCAAAGAAGACTCTTCCTTCTAGGTGTATGCGACAAGGTGGTTATAAATATTTC